ACCCTAAACCCTAAACCCTAAACCCTAAACCCTAAACCCTAAACCCTAGAAGCTGGGTTTAGGAGAAGAACTGACTTGGGGGGGGGTTGGGTGGGGTTTATTTGTTATGGACTGTAGACCCTAGTATTCAAATATTAGGGTTTAGGGTTTAGGGTTTAGGGTTTATAATACCGCAGAGAAGTACACGTATTTTTCCTTTTATAAGGAGATGAAAAACAGCTTTAACTCGGTTGAGTCTTTTAGGGTTTAGGGTTTAGGGTTTAGGGTTTAGGGTTTACAATACCAGAGAGAAGCACAGGTATTTTCCCTTTTATAAGGAGCTCAACAAGCGCCAAAACCCCATTAAGTGCAATTTTTTTCAGGGTTTAGGGTTTATTAGGGTTTAGGGTTTAGGGTTTAGGGTTTAGGAGGGTTTAGGGTTTACAATACCAGAGAGAAGCACAGGTATTTTTCCTTTTATAAGAAGCTCAACAAGCGCCAAAACCCCATTAAGTGCAATTTTTTTCAGGGTTTAGGGTTTATTAGGGTTTAGGGTTTAGGAGGGTTTAGGGTTTAGGAGGGTTTAGGGTTTACAATACCAGAGAGAAGCACAGGTATTTTTCCTTTTATAAGAAGCTCAACAAGCGCCAAAACCCTGAGGGTTTCCTTGCAGGGTATGATGAGAGAGTGTATTGGGGTTGTGGGGTTTGGGGGATCGACTGGGATCGTCTTCTCCCAGGATACAAAATAAGATTTATGTCTTTTTGCTTTTTCTACGGCTTGTATATCATTTAGTTTTATTTTTGTTTCTCTCGTTGCTGCTGCTGCTGTTGCTGCTGCTGCTGCTGGTGCTGGTGTTTCTCCTGCTGCTGCTGGTGTTTCTCCTGCTGCTGCAGCAGCTGTATTCGTATTATTGTTGCTGCTGCTGCTGCTGCTGCTGCTGCTGCTGCTGCTGGTGCTGCTGCTGCTGGTGTCATCGTCCTGGGGTGTATAGAGAGATGAAATAGTTTTTCTGGGGCCACCGGGTGTATAGGCAGCTGCTGAGGGTTTTAGGTGTATATTTAAATATAAATCAAAGATATCTACACCTCTAGGCAATGAAATATATTCGGAGAATAAATCCTCACAAAAAGAAGAAAATAATTTTATATCGTTTATAAAACCACTGCCACCAACACACCAAATAAAACAATAAAAAAAACACGGATATACTAAAAAATCTAACTCTTCTGCGGTGTATAGACACCTCAATGGCTCTGCATGCACGCTGCTAGCTCTCCTAGACAAACGACGACCTTTATCATACACACACACAAACCCTAAACCCTAAACCCTAAACCCTAAACCCTAAACCCTTGTGGGAATGTTTACGTCTACCTTTGTGGTTTAGGGTTTGAGTTTATACCCTGGGTTTGTAGTTAGGGTTTAGGGTTTGCGCAGTTCTAGGGTTTAGGGTTTATGTTTATCGCTGGGGTTTGTGCATATGGATGGGGTTCATATCTAGGGTTTATGATGAGGGTTTATATGATTAGGGTTTAGGGTTTAGGGTTTAGGGTTTAGGGTTTACTTTTTGTATCATTAAGATCTGTATTTCCTTTTTGTCTAGGGTCTGGTATTTTGGGGTGTATTGGCAGCTCAAGGAGAGCTATCAACATTTTAAAAATAGAAACAACAATCATCTCTGGGGACAGTATACACCCCGCACACCTGCTGCTGCTGCTGCTGCTGCTGCTGCTGCTGCTGCTGCTGCTGCTGCTGCTGCTGCTGCTGCTGCTGTCTGCGTTGAGCTCATCAGCCTTTAAGAACGCTTCGCATGCAGGGATAGATAACTCAAACAAAAAACGAAGAGAAGAAATAAAAGATGAAGGCACCAAGTCTCCTAGTCTGTATATACAACATAACACAAATTTATTAGGGTTTAGGGTTTAGGGTCTAGGGTTTAGGGTTTAGGGTTTGGGGTTTAGGGTTTAGGGTTTAGGGTTAGAGAAGGTATTCTACAAAAG